ACTAATTATGTGTTTTAATGAGTTAATAAATCACTTGTGATTAAAGCAATAATATAATCTTGAAAAACTGAACTAATCTTATAAAGAACTATTCAAAAAACTTCAGAAAAACCATTAATAAGGCAGTTCTACTAGGTTGTTTTGTTTCCCAAAAAATAAACAGATTACATGGATCGATATATTAGTCTTACAAACTCTCTTATGTACAAAAATAGTCTACAACTACTTCTAAGACGAAACTAAGTTAAAGTTTTTATGCAAAACAAATATCACACTTCACTATGATCACGTTCTGATAAACGACAAAATTCAAACATTTTAAAACATATTACTTACTTACTTACGCCTGTTACTCCCAATGGAGTATAGGCCGCCGACCAGCATTCTCAAACCCACTCTGTCCTGGGCTTTTCTTTCTAGGTCTATCCAATTTTCGTTCATTCTTCGCATATCTGTTGTTGTTTCTCAACGTAATGTGTTCCTTGGTGTTCCTCTCCTCATTTGGCCATCAGGATACCAAGTGAGAGCTTGCCATGTGGCGCAGTTGAGTATTTTTTTCAATATGTGTCCTATCCACTCTCAGCGCCTCTTCCAGATTTCTTCCTCCACTGGAATCTGGTTTGTTCTCCCCCATAGTAGGTTGTTTCTGATAGTGTCTGACCAACGGATCCGAAGTATTTCGTGTAGACAACTATGAATGACCACTTGTATCTTCTGGATGATGACTTTCGTAGTTGTCCAAGTTTTCGCCTCATACAGTGGAAATGTCTTGACATTTATATTGAAAATTCTGACTTTGATGTTAGCTTGTTGACAGTTGTTTTGAGTTTCAGATGTTCTTCAATTGTAGATATACTGCTCCTGTTTTGCCGATCCTCACCTTCGCATCCGCATCAGATCCACCGTGTTCATCAATGATGCTGCCCAGATATGTAAAGGCTTTTACATCCTCCAGAGCTTCTCTGTCAGGCGTGATTTGTCGCATGTTGTGCTGTGTCGAAGAATCCTGCTTTTCCTACTGCTGCTACACTGGTCGTCTTCTGCATTTATTGTTGAGTGTGCTATAGTAGAGCCAGATCATTTGTGAAGTCTAGATCGTCTAGCTGAATCCTAGCTATCGACATTACTTTGTCTATATATGAGGTTCACTTGATTTTAATGTAATTTGAACTATGGAATTGTTATATATGATTCTCAGCTGAACCAAAGAAAATCAAAACTGTTCAAAAAGAGAGCTTAGTAATTCTGAAGAATTGGTAAATCTAAAAATCTGATCAACGATAACTGTACATTTCATATTGAATAAACATCATACTGAGGTTGATAAAATCCAAACTTGCGTTTACAATAAGGTAACGTCTCATCGTTGTCATTACTACGGCCTTAAATCATAATTTAGTTATTCACTTATTTTGTTTTCATTTGATTGATTTCCCATTTCAAAATACGCGTCTCTATTTGTCATCATACCATGAATTTATTGATAATCATTTGTAATAACATTGAATTTTATTTAGCCTCTTTAACATCCTCAGTTATTGTGTTAAAAACATTATGACCGATTGTTAACTAATTAATTTTAAACGATCTTTCTTTATATATACAATCTTTTATTATTATTATTTACACTAATTAATTTAGTACTATAATCCCTATATTACGTCACTATGTTTATTCTTTGTTCCTATTTCATCGTAAATGTAACACTTTGAATTCTATATACATACGATTGTACAACGTGTTAATGAATTCATTGAAAAGGGATTCCTTTATTGAATTTCGTTTTTTTTAATTTTTAGATGGGAATTATATGTCCAAAATTTGAACTATTCATATTTTCTAACCATTTAAATCAATTTAATCCCTTCACTATTTAAACGTGATTTAGTTGGTTTAAAATTAATTTTTATGTGAAGAAACTTAACAGAATAGAATGTTCACATCTCTGTTAAATATAGGTTATGGGTACAACTTGGCAATGACTCCTAAATAACCCATCGCTCCTATAAATACAGTATCAAATAATGTTTGTCACACAGTGAAATCTCCCAATCTAGTAAGCTCGTTTCATTATGCTTCATAGAATTCGGTGAGCACTATGAAATTGACACTAAAGCACTGATTATCATCGAATGATCATTTAATATAGCTGAATATATTTATGACTTTCATCATCATAAAAGAAACATGATATCTATTAGATCCCAGTTACAACCACAAACAGTACATTAATAACTGTTAATATTTTCAAACAGAAAGGTTTCAGAATACTTAAATTTAGTAATCTTATTATCATTTGTAATTAATTTAAATAAAAATATGCCCCTTAAATTTCAAATATCCATCAACATAATGAAAAAGTGTCCGAACCAGAATTTAACCCTCAAATGCCCTGGTACGGCAGAGAATGAGGAGAGTCAGCCCTCCCTCTTCCAATACTCTCACATGGCCACGCGTACACAGCAATTGCTAGGGAAGTATTACTCACTGCCTTCTGAAGGTGAGGGTGTTATTGATGAAACTGAAAGGATGAAAGGCGAATATCCCGCGCTGTAACCAGGTTGGTGGATACGGACGATCAACCTAGGGAGTTGGAAAACCATGATTCCAAACCAATGGTGCGCATGTCTCCAGTATCCTAAGAGAACAAATGGCATGTGAATCAATTATTGGTGGCCGGTTACCATGGAACTGCATCTCCTTATGTTGTTACACTGCCTTGTGGAACAGACCTTTAATCAAAGACACCAGGTGTGGCTCCTTAAGAAAATCATATGCTTCGGTTTGAGCACCCGGGCATTATTTCAGCGCATATCTATCTATATGATGCCTCATTGTAGTATGAATATAGTTCAAACAATGAAATATTTGAAATATTAACATTGAAATAGAGATATGTAAAATAGTTTTCATAAGAAATAACAAATACAAAAACGATATATTCTACATATATATATTATGGTTAAAACAAAAATAATGAACATAACAGAATCATATGTACATTCATAGATTGGTTTGAGTTGCTAACCACATTGGAAATTAACACAATATACTTCATATGAAAATAATATTGAAAATTGACAAAAGATAATAATTGTGGAGGGATTTTAAAATCTACTCAAATGTTTGTCTATTTATATAATAAATTATGAATAGTTTAGAGGATAGAATAGAAGATAAAATAGAATCACTAAAAAAACAAATAAAATAATAATATTATAATCAAATAAGAAAATAAACTTAACTATCTAAGTACCGATAAAATGAGAAGTAAGAAATGATAATTAATTTCATCGGAGACATGTTACGTAATAGATATTTACAACTGATATCACAGTAGCAAAAATAAAGTCGATAACTGTGTCTTTATGAGTGCGTATTCCATTTAAAGTAACTGGTCAACATCTAATGTCTATCCATTACCTGGAAGGATTTTAAACCATTGAAATCATGTTCACCTTCAAGTAAATGATTAACGATTACACTATTGTAACATGCTCTTATTGATGAGGAGACTAACTCTTTTTTTTCGATTTTTCAGTCTATGTGCCTTGAGATGTACGTGTGACATCATAGATACAATTAAGAGTAGTATAGGGCGAGAATACCTATACGTTTAAATGTTCAGATGAGCAATATATTTGGTACAGTGAGATTAGTATGGTCGTTGGGTATCTTTGCATTTTAATGCCATCTAAATAATTAATTTACCGATTTTTGATGTTCAAGGTTATTCAGATCAACAATCATTTCTCATACACTCACATGAAGCCTTAACATCAGACTGAACTGTGAAAACACAGATAATATGTAATCTAACTGTTTAACTCATAATATTATGTATTTATCAGCTTATTTACTCTAAAACCTAACTTGTACGCTTGCTCTTGGACAACTGTAGTAATATGTCATTATGTGTGTCATTTTAAAGATATGCAGTCCAATACTCTGTGTTTCTAAATTATATTCGAATACTAGGATGGTAATGTTCACATTACTCTTATCAAGTGACACTATCATAAACGTTTGTTAGTGAACTTAAGATAAACAAGTCATCAATCAAACGGCTTGAGTCTTTTCATAGATTGAATTAAAAATAATTCATGAAATGAATCGATCAAATTAATTCCTAGTCATAGATCTCAGTAAATGAACTTAACTCTTAACTTTACTTGGTGTTGTTTTACTTGTATCTTCCCATTGTTATTTAGCACTATAATTGATCAGTCTCTTGTCGGTATATGTGCATACTGTGCGTATTGCCTTGATATTGCCTTAACTCACAAGCTTTATAAGCAGATGGATAGTGACTAGCATTGGAATCCAGGATGCCCATTTCGTCCAATTCGAGACTCGTCAGTTGGATATACCTGTTTCTCAGAATTGATGATCACTCTGGGACTCAAACCCAGTAGCATTCGCTTCAAACTCCATCTCATTTTCCACTTAGCTACTGAGTCCTGATAGCCACCTGCTAGTGCGAACGGTACTGAGTTCGAGCCGCGGAGTGAACATCAACCCTGGGATGCAGGTACATCCAGCTGACGAGTCCCAAATAAAAAGAAACGCTCATCCTGTATTCTACTATTAGCCTCTATTCATCTTTGCTTAACTCTTAACTGTTCATAAAACTACATAGAGAACTATAGTCATTTTTATATCCAGTTAATAGACTAAAGTTTTTATAAACAAACCCCACAATTTAAAATTGAATATGTTCTTCACAAAAAAAAACAACCCAGTACACAATAAACAATAAACACTAGATAACCAACAACAATGAATAATTCATATCAGTAACAACAATATGCATAAAAATCAAAGAATCTTATAATAATTCGTCTCACATAATCTTAATAATACAGTAACGTTTGATAGAAATATGAAATAAAAACCTTTATTATGTGGGTTTTTTGTTGTTGTTATTAATATCCAGAAATACTTTGGATCATGAATGAATAGTTTCTTTCTTTCTTCTTCTTCTTCAGGTAATCGATCATTTATAAATGTAATTCTCGATTTGTATTATGTGGTTTATCGGTAGATCGGTTTTTATTTGTATTATTTGATGTATTTGATTTAATATAATTTCGTCTTAATACTGTTTTCCATGTTTCTTGTACACTGTGTAAAGAGAAAATATCTTTTAAACTTGATTTTTGTTGTCTACATAATAAACAACATAAATGTTGACGGAATGATGGTAGAAATGTGAAAAATGTAGGAAATTCCATAGCAGCATTGACTGATTTAATAGAACTAAATAATTTTGAAAGATGTTTTAATTTATTTGTATATTTTGGATAAAATGTATTGTAATTACTGTAATCTGAATGTTGTCTTAATATGACAACAATAATTAATGGTATATTTAATATGAAAAACATTGTTGTCATAGCTAAATGTCCAGCTATACGACGTAATTCATTTGTATTACGATCAACATGTTGACACATATCATAACGTTCTTTAAATATTCTACGTAGTTTAACAGTTATAATAATAGTGGTTATAAATGCTACTAATGTTGGTATAATTGTTGCACCAATATTCGATAAATATAAATTATACTGAACACTAAATTTTAATGGATCAACAAATTGACAAATTGTATAATTATGCTGATTTGTTATAAGACCAGAATTGATAGCTGTTGGTAAATATAATATCATTCCAATTATATAAATACTTATAATACCGAAACAAGCTACATGAAGATAACGATCACCACGAAATCGAATTGGATGAAATACAGTGAGTATACGATCAAAACTAAATAATACTAAAACATTTGTTGAAATTAATCCGGATGTTTCTGGAATGTATGAAAAAAATTTACATAAAAATAATGAATAAGTATCTAGTTTAATTATTATATTACATTTTGTTAACCATGCTAATCCTCTACCAAGAAAATCATCTAAAAATGCATTAAATATTAATTCCATAATATGTGCAACTGTAATACCAATTATATATGAGTTAAATCGACATGGTGATTTCTTTTGCATTATAATAAATACAATAATCACAAGAATATTTCCACTTGTTCCAAATATTACAATTAATGGTGTTACATAAGCTCGAAATCGATACATCATAATACCTTCATGAGTGAAATCAGTTTCAGCATTGAAACATGTCAAATTATATGTCATACTATATGATATTATCAAATAAGATTAATTCAGTATGAAAATATGATAAATAAAATTTTTTAGATTATTCATGATATTTCAGTTTATCATTATTTTTTATTCCATACGTTTTATTCTCTTGATCATAATGAATTTAAAATGTGATTAGGAAATAATCAGTAAATTATAATGAACAAACATTTAAACAAAATTTCAATTTTCATTGGTTAATTAATTTTTGTAGTACTAAATTTTTATATTTACATTTTATCCTATGAAATTTTAGTAACACAATTTTTGCGAATTGTAAATCTTCTAGTTGGAAAAGCATGTGCACATTTAGACAAAAGTAATAGGATCATGATTACAGTTAGAATTAAGGATTAGCGTTTATTTTTTTGTTTTCCGAGACTTGTCAGAAAGATTTAACTGCATCTTAGTATTGATGTTCATAATAAGACTGGTAAGTAGCGTTTTAAACGCATTAAACACCATTTAATCTATAATATCTTTATAGCCACTGATTGAGATATGAAGAGTGAAATAGAAATATATCAGCCTGATGAAACTCAATCAGTAAAACAGACGTTCATTATAGATTATATCATTATTCATGATACAAAAAAAGTTAAAAAAGATTTAAATGTAAGGCAAATTTGAGGTGACGGATTTAAAAAGTACAGATACCAATAAACACTAATCAGTTACAATCCTTATATTCAACAATTGCAAATGTAGACATTTACCTCCATTCAAATTTGACTACAATTCTTAATTGAGAATTTCGTCATTGACTATTTCATTATCGTGTTTTTGATTACCGAAATAGTGGAAAACAAAATTGTGAGTTTATGTGACAGTTGTGACTTCTTCATATGTGTAGATAAATCTCGAATCCATGTCTTTGCAACAGTATTATCAACTATTGTGAACTGGCTATTTATTCCCTGATGAAGCAAATCAACTTAGGATTTGGAAATGACAGAAACATCTCTCATTCAAAAGGATCAACAAACTATCACGTAATGTGTTTTCATTTGAAATATTTTAGTAAAAAAAGCCAAAATTTTATTGAGGCATGAAGAATACTTTGCAAGATAAGTTTGCTACGAATTGATGATAGCTGATGCATGATTGATAACTGATACGTGTTGAAGTGGATCATTTGAAGTAGTAGTGTTAAGCCAGAACTAGTATAGTCGACTTTGTCGTAATTGAAACAATGACGTATGAATGGGTTAAAATAACTGTCGCACTATACCACACATTGACTGTGAACTAGTTGATTTTGAGTTAAATCACTAAACTCATCAGAATTGATGTGGCTCCTGAATGTCTTACAGACGATGGAGTATGAGCTCATGGAAGGAACCTGGATCCGTAATTGTTTGAGGTCACATTTCCGTTGAATCGTGTGAACATATTCATTACTGAGTGACCTTTCTGAACACGGATTCGATTTTGTGAATGATACTAATTTTTAAATTCGACTGAGCACATTTTTAATTCGAAGGCGACTCTAGTTGAACGTTCGGAAAGTGGAGAGTCTTCATAACAGATGTTGAGAGAATTCACTTAGTTTCTAGTGATGATTTCTTATTTTCTCTTGTACTTATCAACCTGAACATTATATACTAGAAGTCAAGATTTCGAAGGAATACGGAAATAAGCGTCAAACACCGATTGCGTACAACTGTGAGAAAATATAATCAGTATATGTTTACAGTGTCGTTTTATGAGCTTATATTCAAGTAAATTAATGTGTAGAGATCTTAAGCATCACACTAATTTGAACGAAAATTCTCACTGTTGTCAAAGTTATATGGCCTTACAACCACTGAATGTTTTGAAAATGTAGGACTACCGAAAGATCTTAATAGGCACCTACATTCGGAAACTATTTCAATCTGTGATGTTCATTGATTTAACATCAAAGTAGAGATTTAACTACTAGAATATGATATGGATAATGTGCGATTGTCAATAGTTCATCTGTAACACTTTTAGTGGCTTCACTGAATTGACTGAAGTGGACTGGCAATTTCAACCTACTTTTTACACGTCAAATACACAAACCAACTTCCTTGTATTCAAAAATGTGATTTAATTAGTTGTATAGATTTCGGTTTGTATGCGAGTTACAGTAGACTGAGAGTTATTTAAGATATGTCTAAACCAAGTACCACTTAATATCAATTCATATATATTGGTTAGGATTTTGAAACTTCCCATTGATGTTTGGGACAGCAACTGATTAGTCTCAAGTAGCTTATTTAAGTGACAACTTTAGCGAATTCAGAACTCTTATACATTCTGAATCCCATAAGGAGTATATCTAAAGTTAATTTGACTACTATTTTAAGAAAAAGTATTACACAGTTATGTGTTATACATCTCTACAGCCTCTGACATATGTTTCAGTAGAATTTAACTCACTCACTCACCCTCTCCCTCTCTATGTATGCACAAATATCCATGTATTTCATTTAGTATTCTTTGAATAAAATAACACTGTCACACAAACACTTCTTCTTCTTCGTCGTCTTCAATGTTGATTGCTATGTTTTTTCACATATTTGGATTAACATTGAATTGTGCATGTGTAACATTTCAGTTATCCTATTGCACTTTTATCACCTAAAATATCATAACCAATGTTTTATTTATTTCACTAAATTATCTCCCATTTAGCGAATCAACCTTCATTCTACTCTTTATGTTCGGATTGATTGTCAAAATCAACGAACGCAGATAAAACTTACTAGAAATTTGATAGAATTAAAGTTTTCTGAAATTAAAGTACAAATTTATATTCGTGATGGATGAAAATTGACCTAATTAATAAAATGTAATTTATCATAATAAATGATAATTTGCTTCATGTTGGATGAAAACTAATCATTTGTGTACATAACGTACAAGATTCAGGAGATCGTATATGAAATGGAAAATTGCAGTGAATTGTAAATAGGATTTCTGTAATCTTTAAGAAAGATGACTAAATGATGGTTAGTTCTGATGTTTGATTCTTGTTCTTCCAAGTATGAAATGAATGATTGATAGATATAACAGAATCCGCTTCACCTACTCGCTTTTGTTTATAGTTGGGATAGCATTTCTGGCTCATTTTGAATTTTTATGAGATCGATGTAGTAGTTATTAAATTTAATATGTATTGGCATTTGCTATCAGAACTCAGTAGCTAAGTGGATAACGTGATGGTGTTTCAAGTAAGTAGTGCCCGGTTCGAGTCCCGGAGTAAATATCAACTTAGATGCAAGTACATCCGGCTGACATGTCTCAAATAGAACGAGACGCGTATCCTTTGTCCCACTGCTATCCACTATCCATCTTTGCTTACTATACTTGTGATTTAAAGGAATATCGAGGCAAAACGCACAGTACGCACATATGCCAATAAGAGACTGACCAATCACCGTCCTAAACATCAATGGGAATACTCAAGTTAACAATACCAACTGAATTTAGTGTTGATTTAATTTGTAAATTCTAGAATGCTTGAAAAGAGTGTACGGAAAATGGTAAGTATTAAAAGGTCTCATTTTAACATAGATGAGCATTGAAAGGTTGAGTAAAACTTATAAGAATGTGAATTTTTATCGATTGGTCACTTAATACTTTGCCTCTACGACAAATCAATTACGAGTTTTTCCAAACGTTTAACGTAGAGTTTGCCTTCAACAAATACTGTAATTTTTTTTTAATTTGGTTACAATTTGTTATTCTTGTTACTGCAGTCATGTTATCTCACATATCTGTTTCGAACAACTTGAAGATAACGTTCTTGATAGCATGTTTGTTGATTGGATTTCCAACAGAATAAGAGCTTGTTAGACAATTTTAGTTGAACGGACATGATATGACAATAGTCAATATTATAATTAAGTATTTGCAGTGAAAATGTGGTCGATTGAATCAAATTTCAAACTGTTTCCTCAATAGGGTTTGCACATCCATAAATAACTACATTGTCAACCGTTTGTCACATACAGTGCTGGCTCATTCAACAGATTATTCGGCCCTCAAAACATGGAAGTCGTGTAACCTTAACAAGTCCACGAACTATGAATTTACTAGATTTACCCACTAAACAGAAGACAGCTGTGTGTGTAAACAATTTCTTAGTCTTAATATAAAAGTTCTCTTCTCTGTAAGTAGTGTGTGTCCTTTTTAATCGCATACTTTTTATTGTGAACCGTCAATTCTTGAATTCTGTGTTTATAGCTTAAGCGTTCTATATCATCAGTCCAGATTTGATGAGAAGACTCATAGATATAAAACACATAGTAATCATCAGACTCTATTTGTTCAGATGTGAAAGAACTATTTTCTTTAATTCAAACTAATGCATTTTGAAGAATGTTGTTTTTATATAGAAAGCTTTCAATACATGAATAAATTTAGATTTCCATTAGAACTTGTTCTAACTAAACAGTCTAAAAATCGAAGTTTACAATGTTCATTTTTCTTTACGAAAGTAAATTTGATATGATGTGAGAAAATGTTTCTCAGTTTAGGGGAAATTTCTGGGGTTAGTGTTTTTCACATAATAGTAAATGTATAATCTACATATCCGAGCCAAATATCTAGTCTGAAGTTACTGACGATACCAAATGACTAAATATGTGACATAGGTAAATTAACAAAAAAAAACTATGACACCGGAGATTTCATAGTCAGTCCATTCATTTATTTGTACGAAGGTGAAAATCATTGAATTCAAGAATAATTTGAAGGATTTCAAAATTAATTCAATATTTAATGGACATTTTCTGGAAAGAGCATTATCATCTTCTAGTAAAGCATCTATAATGTGTAAACATATATCAGCTGGAACACTAGTTTATAAAGGTACATCATAGTTAACAATTAATTTGTTCTCTCTGAGAGATAATTGCGATGGGTTTTTTTTCTTCCTAGTCGTTTTTGTTTATGATGATTATTGTATTACCTCCGTCAATTTTGGTGATTACAATCATTCTATCTTTTTTTTAATAACA